ACAAGATAAAGCTGTTTCCCTTCATTTATAGAATATGTCTACTAGTTTTGTCCAGTATGTTTCCAGTCAGTGATCTCACTGTATTCTTGATAGATACAGTAATGCACACGAACTGAGATTCTCTAGAAATGCTAGTATATACCCATTTTTAAATACTCTCTCTATGCATTTTCGTTTTTTGTTCTACTGAATGCCCTAAGAGTTTCAGGATTACCAATTTTATTTTTTTTCTGTAAGTCCAAATTTTTGAATTGATTGAATATTACAATCTAGACATTGCTGTTTGCCCAGAGTTGTGTTATAGTGCTGTTCTGGGGATCCTGTTAAACTATTCTGGAAAATTTGGTTTCAGTTGTCACTGTGCTCCCATATCAACATATTGATTACTGTGAACTGATCGAAAGATACTTTTTTGTGTTTGTTTTTTTTTCATATTGAGCTGGTCAAATGCTAGAAAAAGCCAAATATTTTCAAAGTGCTCCAATTGTTAGGATTGTCATCTTTTTTTTTTTTTTTTTCTCTTTCATTTGGTTTCTAAAAACTATTGAAGTACCCCATGCTTAAGTAATGAAATTCTGGAGCTGAGGTTTTAAAGCATAAGTAAATTGAAAGCAATTTTCACCATCTATTCGTATATTTCAAATTTATAATAGATGCTTATTTTTCCTTGATTGTTGTTTCTGTATTTCTCAGAATGCACCTTCTGTATGTTCTTAAACATGCAAAATCAACAGATTTTGGACTTTCCATGTGCATCTCTCACCAGCTGTCCAACTTACACTGCTTCACAATAAATCATACTTTGCTTACAGATTTCCTTTCTAAATTATGAATGATGTTCCTCTGTGAGGAAGCATTACTTTCATATTGCCCCTACCAAACTGATGGCAAAATTTAGAGGAGCGACACTGGGATAGGATCAAAAGTGTAGGAAAGCTGGACTCCTGTCTCCATTGGCTGCTAATAAAAATTCTTACCTTGAGATTTTTAGTATTTCACCAAACATTTCATTATCCAAAAATGACTTCTTCAGTTGTAAATGCGACAGACGTTAATTTTCACTTGACAACAGACTAGCTGAGTTTGGTGGGACACCGCATATTCAGGTGATTGTCATATGTAATTATGTCATCTAAGTCATCAATTTCCACACTAGGTAATGCACTAATGCTTATGGTAAGCAATCCTTTCTGTAGAGAAACTGCAAAAAAAAAGTAGAAAGGAATCAGAACAACAGCACTGGGAAGATGGTCCCTGAATTGTTAACTGGAAAACTTGGGGGAATCTTTAACCATTACATGAGTGGAGCTACATTTCTGGATGTTCTTTGTTAAAAACGATGCCTAACACCATATTTTTAGCGTTCAACTTCTGTTGTGAAGTTATACAACCAAAACCCAGGTGTCTCAAAATTACGATTATTGTTAGAATCAGTTTAGTGCTGGCAGAATAGTTGGTACAGAGGAAGCTCTTAGCTCAAAGAGCCATCATTCAGATTGACACGCATGACAAATTTAAGGAACATTCAAGGCTCTTCCAGACAGATGATTAAAGCGGGGCACTTATGGAACAGAGTAGAGGAGAAGAAGGGCCATGAAGATATGACACAATAAGGAAAATAATTAGGCAGAAAGCTGCTAAATACTCTGAAGAGGAAAAGAACAGAAAGGAGGTCAATTTGAACCAAAGAACTGTGAGCAAATTATTCCAGAAATTCAAGTACTGCAGTGGGGAAGGAGCATTAAAACCCTTAGGTGGGGGACTGTTGTGCTGCCGGTGAGGAGCTGCCTGGGACTGTGGGTATGGCACCTTGCTGCCTGTACCTCTGTAAAAACTCCAACCATGTCCCACTTGAGTGACAGCTAAAATTCACTTCTAAAACACACCTCAGCCTAGAATGTCACATTACCACCCCAATAGTCTTAAAATGTTAAGCGTGATGTTCTTTCCCTTTGTTTCATCTGGTTACACCTTTCTAGTGTTCTTGGCAGAGATTGTAGGATGTATCAGTACTCCTCTGGTTTTGGTTTTACACCATGTAACTGAGATGGGATACAGGCAGCGGAGTCATACAGTGAGAGGAAAGGTTCTGCAGGAGCTGGTCGAGGTGGGTGAGCCAACAGTTGGTTTCCAGCTGCACCAGTGCTGTGACGGCCTCCCAGACCAGCCTGGGAGATATGATGGTGCTGACCTCCACTCCCTGCAAAAAAGCCACTGCAGGATGTATTTCCTGAGCAATTCCATTTTCAGTAGTAGCAGCCCAGGCCCCCGCCTCATCCTACTTGTTCAAAATAAAGTAGCATAACAAACCAGTTCTGAAAGTAGTTCAGACACTTACCTTATTACCTGCTCCTCAAACCAGAGAGGTTTGACCTCTCTGTAGGTTGCAGCTCCTGTGTTACAGCTGAAATGTCTGTGTTTTGGAACACAGGCGGACTCCCATAATATTTGCCATCCCTTAGTAGCTTCATCCACAGCTATGCAAAGCACCTGCACACCCATCTACAGAGTGGCTGTCCTGGACCTTCTGATGCCTTCCCGCTTGGAAAGAGCTGCATTTCTTTTGCATTCACTTGTAATGTTCCTCATGCCTTGCCAGCCTGCTGTGAACTCTCCATAAATGTTCCTTAAGCACTCAGGTGGTACATGAGCAGTCAGGCACCTGAGCACCACATGACCCCATGTGTGAGCACTGTGCTTCCATACATTATGCAGGGTGGCTGAGTAATGAATTCCAGGTAAGCAAGGTCACTCCTAATGTCTGAAAGGAAAATGCTAATCATAGCTGTAAGGAGTGTGAGAGGACTAAGGTTTTTCTTGTATGACAATTTGTCGGTAATTAATATGAAGTCATGTGGAGAAACTCCCCTCTCATGTACATGGTGTGCTGCAGAGAAGTTCATGTTTCCTAAGATGAAACCTTCATCAGAGGAAACATTTCTCATCTATACATGTAACTGAGTGGCTACTCTTTGCCCTTCATGCATTTGTATGATCTAATTTCTCATTGCAATCACTCAGTATAATGGAAGGGTCTTTCACCATCTCTCTGGCTCTAGTATCCATTTACAAATAAATGCACATAGCAGATAACAGCATGAAATTCCTTCCCTCCTCTCAGCTTATCTTCCAGCTTAGCCAAAACCTTGAAGAAAGAAACTGATTGTGATGGGACTCTCACTCATCATCAGCACCGGGCTGCTTCTGGCTGTGCCAAAGCCTCTCCTACCCGCTGGCCTTTTCCCACAAGGCTCAGGGCCCTGAGCAGATCTTCACACAGGTCTGTTCATTACTCTTCTAAAACCATTTCACATCACACAGCTAGCTCTCAGCCTCGTGTTCTCGTGATCCAGGGTGGTCTTTTGGCAGATTTTTTACAGCGCTTTTTTTCTGCCTTTCTTGGAAAATGATTCCCCTGTAACTCCTGAGTTCTTAACATCCCATCTGTACAAGTTTCAATTCACTGATTGTGAAGAGGTAGAACATGACAGGTGGTTTAGTGGCTTTGTTCCATGATCCTCGAGATAATAATTTAGCCTGTCTTCCCAAGTAGAACACTACTGAGAAAGAAAGCAAGTTGTTCTGCTTCTCACAAAGCGCTAAGTGTGCGGGAGTGCATTGCTTGGCCTATCAAGACTCCCAAGAACTCTGAGCAAAACAGCTCAGAGTGTGAAATAAGGACCATGCTTTTCATTGCTCATCTTTTGTCTTGCTAATTAAATAACAAGCCTGAACTGTCTCTTATTACGGGTATGCACAAAACCTAACACCCAAGTGCTCATTCTGGTTTGTGCTTCTAGTGGCTCCTGCAATTAAAACAACATTAGACAGAGCGTTGGATTTTTTTACGGTCACCAGAGATTGATGGCTAGGTGAACTGAACTATTTTCCAAAATGGACTTGTGGCTGAGAGCATAAAAGGCAATTAGAAATGCATGTTGATTGGGCTACTGTTAAACAAATCCACAATAAATCACCTTATGGCAACTGGTACTCATCGTACAAAAACCAGATGATGTGCAGTAGTTCTTCCCTGTGTGCCAGGAACGCGTGCTTCCTTGAGCAGGACTGCAGGAAACCATTCCCTGCTCAGCTGCTCCTCCTGTCACTGCCCTGGTGCTGCAGAGAAGCTCTCCTGCCTCACCAGCAGCGTTCGGCCTGGCACAGGCGCTTGCCAATCTTGGAGACAGGTATATCCTTCTTGTCTGTTATAGATACAGCTCATGGATACAGTTTCTAAAGCTCATATTGTATCTATCATTTTCCTCCGTAATCTCCCTTAAAGCCCACGGCACTGAACACAGTGACGCTGGGCACATTTCAGCCTTGAGAAAAGAAGACTGAGAGGGGACCTGATCCAGGTCTATAAATATCTAAGGTGTGGGGGGGCAGAATGGTGAGGCCAGACTCTTTTCAGTGGTGAGTGGAGACAGGACAAGGGGAAATGGCCGGAAACTGCAGCATAGGAAGTTCCGCACAAATGTGCGCAAGAACTTCTTTACAGTGAGGTGACGGAGCACTGGAACAGGCTGCCCAGGGAGGCGGTGGAGTCTCCTTCTCTGGAGATGTTCAAGACCTGCCTGGATGCCTACCTGTGCGACCTGCTGTAGGGAACCTGGTTTGGCAGGGGGGTTGGACACAATGATCTCTGGAGGTCCCTTCCAACCCCTACAATTCTGTGATTCTGTGATTCTGTGATCTGAGAGTCATGCACATCGCTGTTCACACCCCTTGCTCTATCTATTGCTTAGAATAGGTTGCTCCTTCGTTACATTTGCATTCACTGTAAGTATCAGCTAGCATTTCTCATAACCAAGGCAGACGTGGTCTAAACACGCAACCCCCCAACCAGCCCCGGATCACAGCCCGCTGCCGGACGACGGCACGGCGGCTGCGCGCGGACAGCCAATAGCCGCGGAGGCGCCAGCGGCGCTGCCGAACCGATAAAAGGCGGGGCGGGAACACCGGCTTCCTACGGCTGTGCTGCCGCTCGCGTGCCGATGTTGGCGTTGAGCGCCGCCCGCCGCCTGGTGCGCCCGCCCAGGGAGCTGCTGGGGCCGGGGCTTGCCTGCATGCGAGCGGCCGGAGCCCGCGGCTGCAGCTCGGACGGAGCGGGCCCCCGCAACCCGCTGGTGTACCTGGACGTGGGCGCTGACAACCAGCCGCTGGGGCGCGTGGTGCTGGAGGTAGGCGGGGCAGGGAGCGCGGTGGCGGCCGGCATGGCGGGCCGCAAGGTCACGGGAGGGCGGGAAGGCGGCGGGAGCTCGGATCCGAGCGCGGGGAGGGGGCGAGGGGCGGTTTGCAGTCAGGGTGGGCGGCTGCTCCGGGCTCCGCTTCCACACCGCGAATCGCGGTGCCCGTCCCGTGCCCCTGCTGTCGCTTCTCGTGCGCCTTTTGCGCTGGGTTCTCAGCGTCAGGCTCCGTGTGCTTCCGCCCCGTCTCAGTTCTCCCTGTTAAGCAAACCGGTGGGTTTGTGCGGCTCGGACCAGGCTGGAAGCGAGCTCGACAGCCAGCCCGCATCGCCGTCAGAGCGCGGGGCTCAGCGGCGCACATCAGGCCCGTGCGTGCCGCTGCGGGCTGTGCTGCGTGGCGGAGAAGCGGCGGCGAGCCCGAGGACGTGCTAAGGGCACAGCTGGGCTTGGCCTTGCGGTGAGCGTGGGGTGGCTTTGCCCCCCGTGTCCCTACGTGCTTACAGATTACAGATTAGTGTGGTTCGTAAGGATGTCTCCGAAACGATTTGGTGTTTGGTTGGAGCCCAGCTCCTTGTTCATCCAGGAAAACGTCGATGTATGTGTTAATTGCACACATATGTTTGAGATGGTCTGAGGTAGAAGTACTGCTATGCAAGTTCCTTCTTCATCAGTAAGGTTTAGTAAATGTCTAGATGATATTACATGCCCTGTATGCCATCTTGATCTGATGCTGCTTTTTCTAGGTGGCATATAGTGCTTGTATTTAGGATTAGTAAAAAGAGGTGTAGCAATCACTGAAGTTCCTGACTGTCATAAGTCAGATTTGTTAAGCAATTTCTGTTCTTCTTTTTCCTTTCTGTAAGGTTTCACAGATGGCACTGTGCTAGGGAGAGCTTACTGCTCTGGTTATACCAATGGGGCTTTTGTCCCTGGGGTCTGTCATAGGTTCCCCCCTGATGTTTGTTTTCAGATATTGTTTAAGTCAGTCATCATTAACTTGCCCAAATTTGCATAGCGAAGGATGGCATTCATTACTGGCCATTGCTTGCCCACACTGAGTAAGCATTAGATTTTTTGGGTGGCTTGTGTTTTCCAATACCTTGTGTTTGGGCAAAAGAGCTTAGCTGAGCCAGCTTGTCACACAGAGGTTTTTCTGTGTGTATGTAGACAAGTCACCTAATTTCTATTTTTTTTTTCTTACAGCTGAAAGCAGATGTTGTTCCAAAGACAGCAGGTAAGGCAGCATCTTGTGATTTTCATGCTTGAAATGATAGGAAGAAGAATGTTCTGTTGCTTCGTGGAAACCATTTCCATCATCCTTCTCCATTTGTTAAATAGGAAAACGTGCACTGAACTTCATCAGACAGTGCTATGAGTGGGGATATAATCTGCTGCTATTTCAAATAGTTGTAGTGCAATAGTGCAATGACTATTTTATAGTTATAAAATAAAACAGTACACTCCATGTTAGGCTGTCGGTGAATAAATGTTTCAAGACAAATTGCTTCCTATTAAAATCAAACCACAAAAAGGAAAGGGTAGATGTGAGGGATGGTGTCCCTTGCATTTTGATTCTCAGCCATTATACAGGGGTTTGTCTTCCTTGCCACTAGTTGACTGTAGAATCACAGAATGGCTCGGGTTGAAAGCAACCTCAAAGATCATCAAATTCCAGCGCCACTGCCACAGGCAGGGTTGTCAACTGCTAGGTCACTTATCCATGTGCACTAAATCAGCATGTCTAGGTTACAAAGTTCATGTGTTTTCCCAGGTGCTTCCAACCTCATCTGCTTATTTCATGGTTCTGAAAACTTTTTTCAGTTTCCAGTGGATTAATCATTCAAAAAAAAAAAAAAAAGTGCCATCTACACAATTAATGTAGAGGGCAAAGGCATAAGATGCAAGAAATGAAACGTTTGATTCCAGAGTGATGGGGCTTAGGACTATACTTAAGGTACAGCAGTGTGGGGGGAGGACTATGTTTGTACCCTGCGCTGAGGCAGACTTCAGCTTTGTATCTGTAGCTATACAGCAGAGGATTTTTGAGGATGAAAATGATCATTTCAATGATGCTGCCTTTCTGGTTCATGAACTTTGGAACTAGTTAACTGTGTTTGATTCTATGTTATATCATATATGGGAAACATAATGTTTTATGCTTTGGTTTTTCTAGAGAACTTTAGAGCACTTTGTACTGGTGAAAAAGGATTTGGTTATAAAGGATCCACCTTTCACAGAGTTATTCCTTCATTTATGTGCCAGGTAATGTTTACCAATGGTTTTACTTTTGCTTCTAATATTATCTGTATGCTATTGATGTATTTTTAGAACCAGTGATACCAGTAGTAACATTTTAAGTGTCCCTGCTCTCACTTTTGCTTATTGCATTTCTGATCTTGCTGTGGCAGCTGCTTGGCATATGTTTTGTACAAGTAGATGCAAATTCACTTGTGTAGATTCACTTTAAAGGAGAAAAAGCAACTTGGCTTAAGGCTTCATGCTTTTATAGCAGTGTACTTAAGGCGGGGCACACTTGGTGACTGGCACTTGTTTGGGAGAACTGTTTATGGGTAGAATGACAAGCAGTCTTACCTGAAGCCAGTTCAGAGAATAGGTGGCCAATCTTAATGGCTTAATTTGTTTACAGTAAACATTGTGCTTCAGGGTTAAAAATAGGGAGGGAAGGATGGAGCAAGAAAGCGTTGGGGTAAATTTGGGGTGGCAGCATCTAAAGTAGGTTGTGTTTTGATTTAAAAGACACCTTTCAAAATTCTGAAATAAAGCCTATATTAACTTTTTTTTTAAAAAAAAAAAAGCCTTTTTGGAAGCCCTTTTCTTGCTGTGTTCTGCTGCTATAGTGCAGTGGATTGTATAAATCCTGGTAAAAGCTCCATTTCAACACTATTGTGTTGTAGAATGGCTTTGAAAACAACTGGAAATCAAATGGGCTTTCTGTATTAATTGATGGCTGTGGTAGTCCCTCATTCTTGTTTGGGGTGGTCTTTTTTTTGTTTGTTTGTTTTTGTTTTTTTGTAACAAGCAGTTCTTTGAACAAGAAGTCCTCATCTTATGACCCATTTATACCTAAGAAGCTGGACAGATCTGCTGTAAAAAATGTAATATCTTGCCTTTAAAATGTGAATTCAGCTTTTGAAGTGCCGATAAACTGACAAGATTTAGCAGTCTTGCTGGGGTCATAAATAAAACAGAAATCCTACCCTCAGTTGTACCACTGATTTGTGAAGTCAGTATAATCTGGTCTTACTTGTCTACTTTGTTTGTCTGCACAAATGGACCTGAAATGAGGACATAGCTGGCTGATAATACTGTGAGATGGTGACTTAACATCTGGGAAGTACTTGGTAGTCACTACAGAAGTGAAATATTGTCAAGGGTTGCAATTATTTTCAAGAGGAACCAATCCGTAGGCCTTCGCACTTACTGAGATGGGGTGGTGATGTGAGTCAGGCAGTCACTATGCCTAATTAGAGTCAGTCACGTCCAGGTGATGGCTATGACTTGTAATTAAGATGCCTCCTTACTGCACATGATATGCAAAGCATACTTCTGGGATTGCATACAAGGTTGCTGTTGGAAGAGATTGCTCAAGGTGAGAGCACGGAGATGAGTATCACGTGCAATGTTTGTTGCATGACTGCTGTGTGCCAGTACAGTGGTTTCTGGGAGCGGAGCCAGTGAGTTGTGCACAGTGCTCAGGAGCTGCCTTTCGAGCTGGGATTGTTCAGTCTGGAGAAGAGGAGGCTCAGGGGAGACTTCATTGCACTCTACAACCTCCTGAAGGGAGGTTGTGGTGAAGAGGGATTTGGCCTCTTCTCCCAGGCTACGAGCAGTACACGGGGTAATGGCCGCAAGTTGTATCAGAGGAGGTTTAGGTTGGACATGAGGAAAAACTTTTTCTCTCAGAGAGTGGCCAGGCACTGGAATGGCTGCCCAGAGAGGTTGTGGAGTCGCTGTCCCTGGCAGTGTTCAAGAGGCATCTGAACAACATGCTGTGTGATGTGGTTTAGTGCTAGTGGTGGCAATGGTGATGAGGAGACGGTTGGACTGGATGATCTTGTAGGTCGTTTCCAACCTTGTGATTCTATGATTCTGTGATTTGGGAGTTGCTGTGGTAAGGTTCTGGTTTAGGCTTTTAGTTTTCACGTGTAATCTAAGGGAGGTGGCCACATCCATGCCAGCAAGCACATGCAGCTGAGGAAGCATGGAGTACCTTGGATGTAGCATAGGATAATGATGTAGGTGAGAACCTACAGTGATGGTTTCTGCTATCCTGAAGGAAAACATATGGTATAGAGGTCTGATTTGTAGCTTGTTTTTGTGAGGAATGGCCTGTTCTATTGTATCTTCACAAAAATAAATACGAAAGTTCTGGATTATGACTTCCAGGGATTCTGAATGTTTTTCAGTTATCTGTCAGTTTGCACGTAGCCATCCAGTTCTGTGATACAAAGTCAGCACTGACAGGTGCATGTGTCTGCCTGCTGAGGGGGAGCCCAGGTGGCTGCATGCTGCTGCTTTGCCAGCTCTCAGCCCTTATGTGAGAAAAGCAGTTAATGGTGAACAGTGATGACAGATCTTAGGAGTAAGAATTTTTTTTTTAAAGGGGAATGGGGACAAAATTCTCCTTGTGTGCTTGTGGCTATGCATTTTGGTGTAATGTATTTGCCTGAGGGCCTTTTAATTCTTAGAAGTACTACTGATTTTCTTTCAGTATGTTTGGGAATAAGAATGGTAATGCAGGAAGATTGTTTTAGGAGTTAGGGATGCCAGTCGGAAATTATTAATGATATCTAGAGCAGAAATTTGCTTTTAGTTTATTTCTTCTTCATCAAGTTACATGATTTTAAATCTGCACATGAACATACTTAGGAAAATTTGATGTTTTTATTACTTCTACATTAGAGCAGGTGAGTATATTTTGACAGCAGTACTTCTGGTGTAATATAGCACTTGTGTACTAGTAATGTTAAAACCTATTTCTTTTTCAGGGTGGTGACTTTACAAACCATAATGGAACTGGAGGAAAATCAATTTATGGCAGTAGATTTCCAGATGAAAACTTTCTACTGAAGCATGTAGGACCTGGTAAATAAACATTTTTTAAAATAAACATCAATCTGGGACTTCTGTCTACTATAATACAAGCACATCCTTTTAAACTTAAATAAAATCCAGAAAAAAAGGGAAACCTAGATATCTGACTTAAATGTTAAGTATCTTCTTTGGATGGTTACCTCCTTAGTACAAGGAACTACTGCTACAGTTGAACCATAGTAGAAGTTAGCTGATATTAATTACACTTAAGGCTTGCTCAAATATTACTACAGTTCTTGCTGTGGAAGGAAGAGAGGTTGGGCTGGTGGGAATAGCTAAAGACAAGAGGCTGACGTTAGAAATCATTTAGAAATCATTTGGAGACCATCACGTATGTCTTCTGTCCATTATTAGTCTAAACTTGTAGAGGGGAATGTTTTTTCTATGACAGGCTTCTTATACTGATCTAAAACCTGCTTCTGTTCCAGGTGTTCTCTCAATGGCCAATGCAGGACCCAATACAAATGGATCTCAATTCTTCATCTGCACTGCAAAAACAGACTGGTATGTTTTTAGCCTAGCATATTAACCTAATGAATCGATGCCTGAATCCATAGGTGTTGTAGTTATTTTGGCTGTGGTTTAGTTTATCCATTATGGAAAATAAACAGCTTTGTGTAACTTGAGTGCTCAGTCTGGCCTACCTCACTGTTATCCTTCACATATTGTAGTTGGAAATACAGCAGCCGTTCTTTCTTCTGTGCTGTGGAGTAGACTGAAAGCTTTAAGTAAGAATCTCAGCAAGATAAGGCCTTGGTCTCTTGTAACATGTCTAAAGCCCTTAGCTTGAATGGTTTTCTTGTTACTAGAGGTGCAGTTGTTTCTTTCCTGTAATCAGAGTAGATCAGTAGGTGACAGCTATGAAGATCTGCTTACATCCTTTCACTGAGCTGTATGTTGCAGAGTAAACACGCCTTTATTTCTCTTCCAGGCTGGATGGAAAACACGTTGTTTTTGGGCACGTAAAGGAAGGAATGGATGTTGTGAAAAAAATTGAGAGCTTTGGTTCCAAGAATGGGAAGACCTCCAAAAAGATTGTTATTACTGACTGTGGCCAACTGTCATAGCCTTTTGCTCTGCTGTTAAGGACAACTTCAATGCTGTGAAGAATGAATCATAAACATTTCTGATCCCATGAGTAGCAATATGAAGCCATATTTTCTATTTAACTTGGTCCCACTTTTATACTTGTATCAAATAATATGGATTAAAAGTGTAAAATGTGTGTGAATTGAGCTATTGTGGTAGTCACTGCCGTGCTGACTTGGCAGAGTCCTACTGTGTTCTGAAAGAAGTGGCACAGTAACTGAGAGTCTGCCTGTCCTGCTGTTAACATTATTAGTATGTGAGTGCTTCAGGTACTAGAGTTGGTGGTGGGGCTGACAATTCAGTACTCTGTAACTGAGGGGTAAATAAAAGCTAAATTGTGAAATACCATGTTTCCTTCAGTTCCAGTAACCCTTTTCTGTTGTCTCACCATCATTCAGAAAAATGGTACTAACAGTTATCAGGGATAACTGCAGCAGTTATGTCAAGTATTTTCTTTGTGTCTTAAGTTGATCCAGTAGAGCTATTAATGTATGGTTGTTGGTTTTTTAATTAATGTTAGATCTATTTTTGTAGTCTGATCACTGTTTAAAAATGCTTGCTTCAGTGGAGCAGTGTGTATTTTGGGTTGAGTAGCAGCCTGCTTCCAGAGCTTTACCTCTACAATAAGACCACAAATGAGCCAGAATATCATGGGACAGTGAACTTGCTTGAAGAACAGCTCTTTTCTGAGGCCCAATCATGTAATGAATGCAGCACAGCCCTCAAGAGACGGGCTATTTTTGCACTTGGAGAGCATAAACAAGAGTGCAGTGAGCTTATTAGAATGAGCAGTGGGCTCTACTGCTATTTTTCTGTTATTCTGGTCCTGCGAGGTCAGCCTGCCCCGATATCTCTTTTTGTTGTGGCTTCTTCTCATCCATCAGCAGAGTCAGAATTGGTCACCATGGAATTGCATGGCCAGTGGGTACAGCAAAATTGTTGTGGTTGATGCGTGAGAAGGAAAGAATTTAGCTGATCAGATTCAGTTTCATTTGTAGAAACTGGTGTGTTTTTATGTGGAATCCTTGAGCAGTAACAAATGTTGGAACCTCGCAGTACTGCTTCTAGAATTGCTAAAGTTGTAAGCTTTCCATGCTTGGGGGGAAAAAGCACTTGGCTGGTTTTATGTGATCATCTTCTGCTGAAGAAAAAAATAAAATGTGATAGCTCTGTTCAACTATGAATTTACTTCCACTGCATTCTGCTACCCTTGTGGGTTTTAAAGTAATTTGCACTGCAGTTTTTTCCTATTTGGAGCTGCATTCTTATGTATACATGGGAGGAGTGCAATCTTACAGAAAAGTGTGACTTATGAGCTTCCCTTCATTAGAGCTGTTTCATCTTTGTATCGTTTTTGATTTGTACTGTTTTGGTTTCCTATATAATAACAATTGTGTTCTCAATTTGTATATAAAAAATTTAAATATAGTTCTCCTATAAAAAGGAAAAATACTAAGTTTCTTTCTTAAATAAGATTGTGTACTCTTACTAGAAGTAGAAAAATGTGATGCTGAATTTTGGTATGTGTATGTGGGCTTGGTTTAGAAAAGAATCATAGAATCTTTCTGTTTAGAAGGGACCTTTAGAACTGCCTCCTAGTCCAAATCCTCTGCAGTGAACTCTGCACTCTGCAGTGTGGCGTCCTGCCTACAGCTGGATCAGGTGCTTAGAACTCCATCCAGCCTTACCTCGGATGTTTCTAAGCACAGGGCCTCCTACCTCCCCTCTGGGCAATTTGTTGCTGTGCCTCACCACTCCTATAAAGAACTATTCAGTCTAAATCTCCCCTCTTTTAGTTTGAAGCCATTTTGCCCTCAATCTAGCAGGCGCTAGAGCTTTCCGGGCTGCTTTTTCGTGGGAGCCCTCAGATGCCGCCGGTAGCCTGGGAAGTAGTGGTTTCTCCCTTTGCTGCCCCATCTCTGGATTGGTGTGCAGGTGGCAACTGGAGTAGGCTCTGGAGGCCGCTTTTTTACAACAAAGGCCTCTGCCTCGCAGCGTTGTTAGGGACAGAGAAAAGCTTTAAAGATGTGTTTCAACTGTGAGAGGATACGATGCCCGAAGTGACTTTTGGAATCGACTGATGTTAAATCCCCACCGACTGCGTATTTCCCTTGTGTTCTAATGCGGGAGAAGGCGGGAGGCGAAGCGCGATGTGACCGCGGGGTGGCGCTGCTGCCCGCCGGCGGGGTCGGGCGGTTCGGAGGCGGGCGCGGGGTGGAGGGGGCGCGGGGAGCAGTGCCCGGAGCCAGGGAGTGCCAACAGACGTGCGCCAAAAGCGAGTTTGTGTTGCGGAGTTTTTTCAAGTAACTCACAAATGTTTTTGTTTAGTCTCGTGTTTTAATTATGTCCCGGACTCAGCTTACATAGGTGGCTTTCATTGGTGCTGGGCTGGGGCTGTGTGCCTGCGTTTGTAACGTTCAACTACTGGGAAGAAGTGGCATCGGAGGTAACAAATACCGTTCCCTGCTGCAATGCATGCACCGCCTGTGACAATGTATCCGCAGTTAGAGCATGGAGGATGTGAATTATTGAAATGTACACAGATCACTCAATGTAGCCTTTTCAGTGACAACGGATGCTATGCTGCAGGCTGAAGGCTTGTGGCTGCACAGACCTTTCCTCCTGGCTCTGAAGCAGTCAGGTCTGGGGGAGTGTGGTGTTGTCCATTGATAGCTTCTGTCTGCAGTGTCGGCAGTGATGATGGAAATGAAATGCTGCTGATGGTTTTGACCTGAGTTCAGTGCAAGTGTATCAGAGGTCAGTGCTGGCTGAGTTGCTTGTTTTTTGTTAAGAGGTTCAGCAAACAAAAACTTAGAATTAGGTCATCATTGGGACTGATGAAGTTAGAGAATGGAGGAAAGCCCAGCAGCGCAGTGACCCCTCCCTCCAGAAGGCAGCAGCACGCTCAGGTCACCAGTGCTCTGTAGGAGAGCAGTGTAAACGGGCAGGGAACTGGGCTTCAAGCCAGCAGCCATATCCCCAGCTGTGCATCCCCACTGGGTGGACAGCTAGCTCCCCACCTGGTTTGGTAACATGCCCTTTGCTTTACTGGGCATGAGCCCACTGCTGTTGAGCGGCACTTTGAAGCCCAGTTCTGCTGCGGAGCACTGGGACCACGCATTGGGCTCCTGCTGTGCTGCCTGGCACTGGGCACTGTGTCTCTTCTGGCATTCCTTGGCTCCAGCTGAGGGAGGGCAGTGCTGGGTGGATCCAGAGGCTGCAGTGTGGCTCTGGTGATCATTGACTGTAACCACCCAAAAGACAGCTTGGATGAACTATCACTTATTTTTTTACTAGCCAGAACAACAAAGGAAAAAGAGCATGTACCAGAAGGAAAAAAATGACTGTGTCTTTAAAACAGGGTCAGGGAGAAGTTAAAAATGTGCAGATACAGGGCTTTGTGGGGGGGAAGACTCTGTCACCATTCTCATTTTCACTCACCTCCTACTTACATCTGGGAAGGTGGGCAGAGCAGCTGCTGAAATTACCAGGTGGAAATCACTTTTAGCAGTCGCAAGTACCGGTGCTTTTCCTGCTCACTCTGGTCTCACCCCCAGCACATTCTCATGATGTGGGGCCAAATGCCACCCATCTGTCTGTCCATCCATCCATCTATCTGTCTGTCCATCCTTTCTTCTGCCCCATCCGTCTGAGCCATGCCCGGCAACCAGGAGCTGCTCCCCTGGGATCTGAGGCATGAGGAGGCAGCAGCTGCACGGTTCAGCTCTGCTGCAGCCATAAATTTTGCATTAGCACTAAACAGTGCTCGTTCCAAGTGATGCAGTGCCTTGGATTCTTTTTCTGCCTGCCAAAAGTCAGTGTTTGGTTGGGATTTTATTTTTTTGGAAGAAGCTTTGCTATTAACTTGATGGTTGCCAAGGCCAAACAAAGTGCAAAGTGTCCTTGGAGAAAGCTACGTGATTCTGTGCATTAAAATCCGGGGGATGCCAACACACGAGCTCAGCCTTGCAATGTCACGTGGCTTGCTTGTGCTGCCAGCACCCTATAAAAGCTTTGCTGAATTTTTAAAGAATATTCCCATGCTTAAACTGTAGAGGTTGAAGCTCTGCCTTCTTTGTTCCGCTTGCCGCATGGGACTGCCCAGCCATGGCTGGCCCAGCAGGGCCAAGGGGCAGCACCCAGCTGGGAGCTGTGGCCTGTACTGCACACTCTTGCCATTGCTCCATGCTGACCCTAACCCTTGGTGCATCGAGCTGCTGCATGCAAACCTCAGTGGGCACTGGGGGGGCAGTATCTCCTGACTCCAAGCAGGAAAAAAGCCCAAGCAGCTCTCTGCTGAATGCTTCCATTTGCTTGCAGAGTGATCAGGATTGCACAGAGCTTGAGAGCTCAACACAGCAGGGGGAGAAGAGGAGATGGCTGCAGGACCAGCCTTTCAGTGGTGGCTGCTGCTCTAACACAGTGCCCAAGGGGTCAGGGCAAAACTGCTCGCTTTTCCAGCAACTGTCATCTGGTTTCCCTCACAGCTGCTCTGAGTTGTGCTGCCCTGGATTTGAAAAACAGGGTTTGTGCAACAGACACAGGAACATACAGTGAAGGTAAATAAAATGCTCCTTTTAGATGCAAGGATGATTTCATTTCCGGGGTGAGCTGGAGGATTACTTGTGGTTAGAAACAGAAAGCATAGAAATTATTTTGGAACAGTAGTGGAGGTAATTACATCTTCCTCTTCTCCACCTTTCCAGCACTGCTCCCTTCATGATGAAATGAAAGGAAATGTTTTTTTCTTTTCCTCTTCACAATACTGTGAAAAAATTTTCCAGAGCCCGTCCTGATCCAACAGCTTCCAGCAGACTATGGCCCTGCTTGGGGTCCTGCTGCTTGCAGACCCCATGCTGCCCCACACTTTACAGCCAGAATGTCACAAGCATGATGTTCAATGTGTGCAGCCAGCTCTTCTCCATCAGTTGCAGTCCCATTCCTGTAGCACTTCCTGCAGCACTGTCCAGCTGCAGTTGATGGCTTCACTCCCGCTTATTTGCTGCCCCAGCTCCCACAGGTGATCCTGAAGGTACTGAGGAGCGGCAGAGTAAGGGAGGGATGTCGTCCCAGCTGTCGCAGCAGCATCCTGCAGCTGGCAGCAGGTTTACCTATTCTTTGCACTTTCTGTTTTCTTTGCTTTCTAAACTGAAAAAGCTCTCAGTGGGACTTTGCAGCTGCAGATGTTATTATCCCAGCCAGGAGAACTCAGTTCCTTTTCTTCTTCTTTTCAGGCATTTGGAGCACCAGCCCGTGCCAGCTTCCTCTGCCCAGAAGCTGTCTCAGTTTCTCAGGAATGAAGCTGAATGGAGTTTTTCAATGGCTTCAGTAGCAGCTTGCAGATAACAGAAGTTTGTTCCATGCTGTTCTTTGTGAGCAGAACCCCTGACAGAGTAGCCTTAACTCTATCAAGGAGTCAAAGAGTTAAAATAATATTGCCCCAGTGTGTCATTGCTGACTAAGGTCCTGGGTTTAACAAGACCCTAAATTGTTCATGTTCTAATGATGTAATTTGTTATCCCAAATTTCCCCTTATTTTGTCATCAGAGTGCCCGTCTCTAAGGTTGTAACTTTAACACAAATTCTCCACTCAAAATCAGCAACAAATGTGTGTCTGGGTGATAAACTGGTAGCAGCTCTGGTCTCACCTGCTTGATGCAGTCCTGTGGTCACTGCCTTTCCACTGAGCTGGATGCAGAGGCCTGCCCTGCTCTGCACTGGGGTCACTGGTGGGCCACCAAATTCAGCCAGGTATGTGGGATATGTTGGAAGAAGGCAGTGGTCCCCAAGGGAAAAAGCAGGAAAAACTTCAGTGATCTTCAGGTTGATACAGATGTTATCTAATGAGTGATATTTTTCTTATATTCCAATCCAGTGTGATTCATTAGGGCAAGAGTATTTCCTGCTGGGAATACACTTAATTTATGACCAGTTATTTCTTTTCTTGCTTTTTTTTTCTTTTTTCTTTTTTCTTTTTTTTTTTTTTTTTGTGTGTGTGTGTGTGTGTGTGTGTGGTCTTGTAGCCAGGTTTCTCAGAGCTGGAGGACCAACACCAAGGTGGCTTGGCTTCATTGCCTCCAGAAGACCATCAGCAAAAGTGAGCACAGCTGACATGGAAAAATGGAAAATGGAGGGAAAAGGCTATAGAGCAAAGTGAATAAAAGCAAGAATATAAGCTAAGTCC